CCTGAGTAGCCTTTTGATGTTTCATTAGGCTCTGTGCCACAAGCACCAACAACTTGACTAACCAGAACATAAACCAGGGCTGTTCTGAGACTACCACGGAAGCAATGAGTGCTACAGCTGTCACCTGATAGACAAGATAGATTTGAAATAGCAAAGATAACTTACCACCATCCGAGTAAATATGAAGTTACAATTTTAAGCGTGCCCTAATCAGGTCCCACTACTTACAAGCATTTTTCTCACATTTAGTTACTTACAGTATATTATTGCCATATACACGGGCATGTTTCATACATCATTTTTTTTTTTTGACAGCCTTCCAACATTCAATACCTCACAACGCAGTACTACACATTCATATTCTTGACACTGCTGCTCATAATTACAATTAACTTAAAACTGATTAACACTACAATAGTAACTGTGTCACACTGAACAATGTCAATACTGTACATATTTCTCCAGAAACGTCACTACCTCTTGCTTCTAAGACGTTTTTTCCTAGTTTCTCACAAACTTCTCATCTGTATATAACTGCTGCACCTTCAAAACATTGTATCAACACAATAAAATATTAATAGATGTGTAATGCTTATTTAATGATTACGGAGTGGAAAGAGAGGGATCAACCCACCCTATATATTATATCCCAATAATCTTACCCAAACAGAGATCCGAGGAAGCCTTTCGAAGAACTCAGCTTCTTCTCAGCCTCCGCCATCAGCTGCATTGCTTTCTGCTCCGCGTCAGCCATTCTGAAAGTATAAAATGACCAATACGATGTTCAGCTTCTCGCCAACAGAGAGACAAAGCTCGTCTGCCCTTCAAGTATAAGCGAGAGCCTGGTGTTTGGAACCTGTCTTCGTCATGCTATTCAATCCTATATTGGCAAGGTTTTCATACTTTCTAATACTCTATATAAAGAGCTTAATCCTACATTCTTGTTTCTTCATGTCACTTATATGGAGTATTGACTAATCGATTGTATATACAATGTTGCCTCAATAGATGGCACAACACTCGCACAGTGAAGGCACCTAACATAAACTACATTTTCACAGTGATTTTTATTAAAAAAAAATAGTGCATAGATGTTTAGAAAAAATTATACCTTTTTTTTTGGAAATCGCCCATTACATGCAAGATTTTGGGCAGGTTTTAAACTAACAATTATGTTAAAATTATAAATAAATTATAAAAGTATGGTAATATACTCGACTACAAAAACTAGGGAGTGTGAATGTATGTGTACTGATGTGCGCATTTTGTGGTATCTTATTTATACATGTAGTTTTGTATCAGCAACACTAGAACGCTACACTGTGTAGCTAACCTAATCTATGTGACTTTTACAAAGTAAAAGTAAAAGTTGTTTACTTAACATACATCACGCAAGAGGTATATATATATATTATATATATATATATATATATATATATTATATATATATATTTATATATATATATATATATATATTATATATATATATATATATATATTATATATATATATATATATATATATATATATATATATAATGCAGCACCTACAAGGCAATCAGGTCGATCTATGGAAAGTGTAAGTAAGTAAGTAAGTTTATTCAGGTATACACAAATACAGTTACATAGAATTATCATACATAGCAGCATATGTGTAGAGAACCTAGGATAACCCAAAAAAGTCAGACAGTGACTTATTTCCATTGGGGTCCTTTTACCTTATTATTATAATATAAAGGTTATAATATTTTCTTATTATTCAACAATGAAGATAACATCTTATTATCATACTAAAAAGACTATCTACTACACGAGGGTCATTAAGACTATCTACAATACGAGGGTCATTACTAGGGATAAGGTAAAATTTACAAGTATTTTAGCTAAAAAATAGAAAATCATTCCCCTCCCTTTCTGTAGCTTCATTCATCAGACACTTTTTGGCAGTCTTCTTGAACTGGTTCATGCTATGACTGGATAATTCAATCCTTGGATCTAGAGCCCCTTGCCGGCATCAAGGCACCCTTGAGGAGTATTTATTTATTTATTTAATGTCTTTGCAAACAGTACATTAAGATAAGATAAGATTTCGTTCGGATTTTTAACCCCGGAGGGTTAGCCACCAGGATAACCCAAGAAAGTCAGTGCGTCATCGAGGACTGTCTAACTTATTTCCATTGGGGTCCTTAATCTTGTCCCCCAGGATGCGACCCACACCAGTCGACTAACACCCAGGTACCTATTTGCTACTAGGTGAACAGGACAATAGGTGTAAGGAAACGTGTCGGAATTTCCACCCGCCGGGAATCGAACCCGGGCCCTCCGTGTGTGAAGCGGGAGCTTTAGCCACCAGACCAATACAAAGAGAGCCTCTATTATGCCTGACATTATGGGCCAACTTAACATTATTGACTTACAGACTACTTAACACTAAGGATTATATCATAGTTGTACAGTAGGAAAGTAATTGTTTCAGTTGTACAGTAGAATATTAATTATAAATGAATCAAAATTTGTATAATACAAACATGTACGTATTTATATTCTAAAATGCTTTTGTGAAAAACAATGATTCAATTATATTCCTGTCAACAATGGATAAAAGGTTCAATGTGATTGTTTCAGCTATGATGTGGGAGTACATAGGTGAGTAAATGTGTACTGAGTATTTAGCATTTAGTCTAGGGTGATTTTTTTTTTATATTTTATTGAAAAACGCAATACACAATTATACATTTAGACCATGTAAGCAATGAAACGTATCCAGTATATATAACAAAAGAAAACTCCACATTCCCTACCTTAGAAATACAGGTGGGTTTATTACATCCAAAATTGCAGCCATAAACACAATATGCAATATAACCCAAAGAATGTCACAGGTATTTACATTTTACATAAAACTGTATGTACGAAGACATTCTCAATTATCCAAAAATTCTTTACACACTTATTATTGTTGTATATTAAACTTCATATCAAATACATAATACATAACACCTCAATAAATTACGAAACAAATAAAGGTTAGAAAATAACAATCTCCACACCTCACCACAGAAAAACTAAACACAGTATAATTTTAATAAATGATTCGTCCCACCCCACTTCCATTACACTACTTTCACCCCACAAGCGAACAAACACTACATCACCCTACAAGCGAACAAACACTAATCTTTCCTAAAAGCGAACAAACACTACATCACCCTACAAGTAAAACAAACACTACATCATCCTAAAAGCGAAAAACATACATCTCCTACAAGCGAACAAACACTACTCATCCTACAAGCGAACAAACACTACATTCATCCTACAAGCGAACAAACATACATCATCCTACAAGCGAACAAACGCTACATCATCCTACAAGCGAACAAACACTACATCATCCTACAGCAAACAAACACTACATCATCTACAAGCGAACAAACACTACATCATCCTACAAGCGAAAAAAACACTACATCACCCTACAAGCGAAAAAAACCACTACATCATCCTACAAGGGGAACAAAAAACTTACATCATCCTACAAGCAAAACAAACACTACATCATCCTACAAGCGAACAAACACTACATCATCCCACAAGCGAACAACACTACATCATCCTACAAGCGAACAAACACTACATCATCTAAAAAGCGAAAAAAAAACTACATCATCCTACAAGCGAAAAAAAACACTACATCATCCTACAAGCGAACAACGCTACATCATCCTAAAAGCGAACAAACACTACATCATCCTACAAGCGAACAAACACTACTCATCCCAAAAGCGAACAAACACCTACATCATCCTACAAGCGAACAAACACTACATATCCTAAGCGAACAAACACTACATCATCCTACAAGGAAAAAACACTACATCTCCTACAAGCGAACAAACGCTACATCATCCTACAAGCGAACAAACACTACATATCCTACAAGCGAACAAACACTACATCATCCTACAAGCGAACAAACACTACATCATCCTACAAGGGGAAAAAAACACTACATCACCCTACAAGCGAACAAACACTACATCATCCTACAAGCGAACAAACCTACATCATCTACAAGCGAACAAACACTACATCATCCTACAAGTGAACAAACACTACATCACCCTACAAGCGAAAAAACCCAATCATCCTACAAGCGAACAAACACTACATCATCTACAAGCGAACAAACACTACATCATCCTACAAGCGAACAAACACTAATCACCCTACAAGCGAACAAACACTACATCATCCTACAAGCGAACAAAACACTACATCTCCTACAAGCGAAAAAAACATTTACATCATCCTACAAGTGAACAAACACTACATCATCCTACTAGTGAACAAACACTACATCATCCTACAAGTGAACTTACACAATCACGTATATTTAGTAATATTTTTAAAAATATAATTTCCATTTTTAAGTAACAAATTCTTTACATATAATAAAATATACATAGTCATTACTATTAAAACATTAACTTAAACAAGTACTATATTTTATTCAAACGACCACAACATTTCTTGCCTCCCCAATCCTAACCCTACTTAACACATTGTACATGAACACGTCCTTATATACCATCACTCGTCAATAATATACATTGAAACTTCACCGAATACTAATATACAACCCATACTGATTTACATGAAATTCTTCTTACATTACTGCTATATACACTTAATGTATGATAAAATACACACATTGCATTATCTCTTTATTTAGCAGTAATTTGGTACAACAGACATATTTATCACGCCCGCATGTCCTTTGTTTTTAATATAACCACCAACCCTGATAGTACATTACAACATTTTCCAAATTTAAATTATCCATAACATACACCCGTATACCACTGAGTATGACGTATACTATTCACATTCACACAGATATTGCTCATTTCCTTGTCCATAAAAATCTTAAAATTTTTTCCCTTACAAAACCACCACAAACTTACTTAAAACACACCCACAACTACGCTACCACTTCACCCATATCAAGGAACCCCTCATACATTCCCAAATTCTGAGACGACCCCGGTGCAACCCCTGAAATTCCTACACATTCCTCCCCCCTCACCCCGCCAAAAAACCCCTCTGACATTCATACTTCGTTCCTTCAGGAAAAAGCCCTTTCCATCTACTTCCGTATATCCCCCTATTACGACTAAGTGTTTTGAAACATTGTTGCAGCCAATACCTTCTTTCGCACCCCCCAATCCCCATTACCCCTCATGGCCCATGATACGAAAAACAAAATCCGTTTGTGTACCCCAAAGCACGCTGCACAGACTCTTCCACACCTCCCACATCTAAACTAAATTTGCCCTTAATTCCGATATCCCTCCCCCCCTCACCCTCCTCAAAATCCCACCCATCCACTCCCGTTTTACACTCCAAATTTTTACAAAAATATACTACATGAAAGCTGTCTCCCTATCCCACACGCCCTACATAGGGCCTCCACCATAAAACCCTCTCTCCTGAAGCACCACACCAGACGGCAATTTTCCCATGAAGGAAACGAAACATTACCTCTCTCACTCGCGGTCTGATGCGCACCAACCGCAAACCTTACCAAATGTCTCCCAATGCATACATTGGGTTTTATGCCTCAACATTCGCAATCACCCTCACCCCTACAGCACGCCCAAAAACACCTACCCGTACCCTAGACGGATCTCTAACATACAATAAAGCTCGCAGCACTCCTCACACTCTTTCATCTCTGATCCTACCACCACCTTCGTGCCTCTCATAAAATTTGCTTGCACACCCTTCCCCACACGCCCTTCCACTCGGAAAAACCCCCCTCTTCAAATATATAACTT